CAGTCCACCATCCACAAAGCTTATAATAGTCTGTTGCTGAACATAGGCCTTCTGCATAGATAGCTGGGATTGATAGATGGGATTATGCCATAGCTGCCACGCTTGGCAGGCTGGTTTTTTATTATTTTGAGTTGTTGTTAGGAAGTTATTGCTGCCTCCTGTTTCAGTGTTCCTCTGTCGCCTCTCGCGACACCCACAGGACGATATGGGGTAGTGGATATTCTTACATCAACACCATACGGTACTGCAAGACGTAAAACGAGCGAACGAAGTGAGTTAAAGTTATAGCCTAAATACGTCCTACTGCTAGATATAGGTCTCCTCTTATTTCTAAAACGATTTTTAGGGCAAAGAATTGTCAGTCGGGCGGCCTCAGTGAGTGTTTGCAAACGTCACATATTTTAAAACATATATATATATATATATATGTATATATATATATATATATATATATATATATATATATATATATATATATATATATATATATATATATATATATATACGTGTAAGATGTGCAGGTTTCCTCACGACGTTGTCCTTCACTCCCAAAATTATTATTTGTGCCGATGGGGATCACACCCGGGTTGCTCTCCTACTATGAAATTTACAACGCGCGCTTAGCCTTTGATACCGTAGCTATTAGTTATATATTTTATATCTATTAAAAGTACAAGATAGTTTTAAAATCGTCTATCGAATGCCACATATACTATTTTTGCATTTTCCTAAGTCGTTCTTGTGTACGATCACGGGAAATGGATGATGGATTATCTGACGCCGCCACTACATATCATCATCATCATCATCATCATTACAGCCCTTCACAAGTCCACTGCTGAACATAGGCCTCCCCCAAAGAATGCCACAAAGCACGGTCCTGAGCCACCTGCATCCATCGACTTCCTGCATGTCTTACCAGGTCGTCACTCCATCTCGTGGGGGGACGCCCTACACTTCGCCTACCGGTACGAGGTTGCCACTCGAGAACCTTTCTTCCCCATCGGTTGTCGGTTCTTCGAGCTATATGGCCGGCCCACTGCCACTTCAGCTTACTAATTCGTTGGGCTATGTCGGTTATTCTGGTTCTACTGCGGATATCCTCATTCCTAAGTTTATCACGCAGAGAAACTCCGAGCATAGCCCTCTCCATAGCTCGCTGAGCGACCTTGAGCTTCCTCATACGGCCAGCAGTGAAGGACCACGTCTCAGTTCCGTAAGTCATCACTGGCAACACGCACTGGTTGTACAATTTCGTTTTAAGGTTTTGAGGTATGTCTGACGAGAAGATGTGTCGTAGCTTCCCGAACGCTGCCCAGCCGAGTTGAATCCGTCGATTGACCTCTCGGTCGAAGTTGGACTTACCTAGTCGGACTATTTGTCCCAGGTAAACATACTCGTCAACAACTTCGAGCTTAGTGCTCCCAACAACTACCGGCATAGGTGTGACATGGACATTAAACATAATCTTTGTTTTGTCTATGTTCATCTTAAGACCTATCCGTTGGGAAACACTATTGAGGTCATTGAGCATAGTGCTTAGGCCCTCCAGCGATTCTGCCATAAGGACTATATCGTTGGCAAATCGAAGGTGAGTGATGTACTCGCCATTGATGTTGATACCGTATCCTTTCCAGTCCAGAAGCTTGAAAACGTCTTCCAACGCAGCGGTGAACAGTTTCGGGGATATGACGTCACCCTGTCTTACACCTCTCAGCAATTGGATAGGTTTCGTACTCTGGTTCTGTACTCGGATAGCCATCGTAGCCCTACTGTACAAGCACTTCAACACTTCGATATACAGACAGTCAACTTGGCACCGCTGAAGGGAATGCAGCACCGCCCAAATTTCGACGGAATCAAAGGCTTTCTCATAGTCCACATACGCCAGACATAGTGGCAAATTGTACTCTTCGGACTTCTGTACAACTTGCCGAAGGGTATGTATGTGGTCTATGGTACTAAAGCCCTTTCGGAAACCGGCTTGTTCGGGAGACTGGAAGTCGTCAAGTCTGCGCGCGAGACGATTCGTAATGACTCTCGAAAACAGCACGTAGACGCGGCTCAGAAGGGAAATCGGTCTGTAGTTCTTCAAGAGAGCGTTGTCACCTTTCTTGAAGAACAAGACCACCGCACTTCTGCTCCACGCCTCCGGTGTAATGCCACCATGGAGGACGGAATTAAAGAGCTTCTGAAGGACTTCAAGTACCGGTCTTCCACCCGCTTTCAGAAGCTCCGCTGTAATTCCATCCTCGCCTGGGGCCTTACCGTTTTTAAGGTGCTGGAGAGCCATTCTAATCTCGCTCAGACTGACGTCCGGGATATCTTCGGAATAGTGTCGGATGAGACTCGCTCTTGGATCGTTACTCACACTTGCGTGTGGCTCCAACGATGACGTGTACAGCTGCCCATAGAACCTCTCAATCTCACTCAAAATCTCAGGTGTCCCGGAAACGATGCTGCCACATTCCGTCTTCAGCTTTGACAGTTGGCTCTTTCTGGCAGACAGATCTCTGGCAAAGACTTTGGAGCCTTGGTTCCGCTCTATCGCTTCTTCAATACGAGCTGTATTGAAGTTGCGTAAGTCCCGCCGCATGCATTTGGAGATCTGTCTGTTCAGATGCCTGTATGCTGTCAAGTCTGTTGAAGAATGTAGCTTCATCTCCCGTCTAAAAGCCATGAGATTAAGAGTGTGATCGGAGAGTTTTTGTGTTCTTCTGCGGCGGGTCTTGCAGAACTTAGCTCCGACCGCATGGACAGTTTCCGCGAGCTTGTCATTTATATCGTCCACTTCATTGCAGTCTTCTAGGCACTGAAATCGGTTTTGTAACTCGAGCTGAAAGGTTTCGGGACTTTGGAACAGAGCACGAGGGGGACGGAGCGTTGACTTCATTAGACGAGACCTCTCCAACTTAACGTTTAGGTTCAGTGTGCCTCTAACCATTCGGTGATCGCTACCAGTTTTCACCCTCGCGATCACGGAGACATTACTGAACAGTTGTCGTCTGGTCGTCATAATGAAGTCAATCTCATTTTTTGTCGAACCGTCGGGGCTCGACCAGGTCCACTTCCTGTGGGGCCGCTTCTGGAAGAAAGAGTTCATCATAAAGAGTCCCTCTTTCTCCATGAAGTCGGCCAGCTGCTGGCCCCTTGGGTTCCGTTGCCCTATTCCAAATTTCCCTACTTTCAGCTCATCGTTCTCTCTTGTGCCTAGTTTTGTATTGAAGTCTCCCATTAACACCGTATATTGGGTTTTGGAGGAATGCATGGCTCTAGAGATATCCTCATACATTTCCTCCACCTCCTGATCGGGGTGTGCCGAGGTTGGTGCGTAAACCTGTATGACCTTCAGCGAATACCGTTTGGTGATTCTGAGTATAAGGTACGCAACCCTCGTCGACACACTCCCGATCTTTACAACGTTGTTAACGAGAGACTTGTGGACGATAAATCCGACACCTCCTTGGGACAGATGGTCGCCCTCCCGGTGATAGAGCAAGTTGCCGGATTCGAGGATTACCGTGTCCTCCCCCTCTCTTCGGACTTCGGATTATCCTATAATATGCCAGCGCAACTTGTCTATCTCTTCTTCCAGCTCCACGATCTTCTCGTCAGTCCTCAGGGTGCGTGCGTTGTACGTTGCCAGGTCGAGTCGTCTAAGGTGGCAACCGAACCTCCACCGGAGATTCTTAGCACCCCCTGCCCCGCCGTTACCATGGTCGCCACCGTAGTCAGGAATAGCGGGGCCGCCGGGGACTGGGGGCCGTCTGTTTGTTGCTTTAGTCATTGGGGGGTATTTGCCATAGTTGCCACGCTTGGCGAGCGGGTTGGCAATCGCAGTTTTTTTATTATAATTTTGGCTATTATCAGGAAGATGCTGCTGCCCATCTTCTGCCTGTTTCCCTTTGTCGCCTTTTACGACACCCACGGGAGGATATGGGGTAGTGGATATTCTTGACCGCCACTACACGGCACTACATATCATATAAATAATACTCGGATAATATATCATAAATCTATTTTAAAACGTTTTTCTTGTAATAAGTTTTTGAATTTATGTTAATAATAATGTATTATTTGTTACAGGCACAACGACTGCACTGATAGCTTTTATTCACCCAACTTTAAGTGGCGTTCGAACCTTCGTGCGGAATGAACTATAAAAATGATTTTAAATCCTCGTTATTCAAGGACGTTATATTTTTGAATTGATACTTATATGAAATACAGGTATATTAAATGTTGTTATCGAAAAATGCAATGGGTGGGCGGAGCTTTCCGGGCTGGTGTTAGTTCCTACACGACTTAAATTTTTATTATAATTTTATATTATTGATTCCAAAAGCTACGAGACGAATTTAACCATAACAGCAACGATGTCGGCAGGTAAATATTTCTTTTATGTTCTTGAGAGTTTACTTACACAATTTGTTAATTAGTCTATATTCAAACATTTTCCACCGTAATATGGCGTCTTACTTCGTAAGTTCTTATCCAAGATTGTAAAACATTCTTGATGTTAAAGAATTTTGCGATAAGAAAAAAGTTTTGATGTTTGACATTGCGTCATCATTTATCTTCATTACAGCTCTTCACTGCTGAACATAGGCCTCCCCGAGCCATCTGTATCCATTGACTTACTGCATGTCTTACCTGATCGTCACTCCATCTAGTTGGAGGACGCCCTACACTTCGCCTGCCGGTACGAGGCCGCCACTCGAGAACCTTTCTTCCCCACCGATTATCGGTTTTTCGAGCTATACGGCCGCCCCATAGCCACTTCAGATTACTAATCCATTGGGCTATGTCGATTACTTTGGTTCTCACGCAGAGAAACGCCGAGCCCTCTCCATAGCTAGCTGAGAGACTTTGAGCTTCCTCATTCACCACGTCTCAGATTCATAGGCATTTTAGTTTTCACTGGCAACACGCACTGGTTGAAAATTGTTCTGGCGCAGCTAATTATAAATTTATATATTTTAGCGGGCTCAGCTGTTGCTATGATAGGAGCGAACCTTCGCTTCGGATCCGCTGGTGCAAACAACGCTTCAATAATCAACAACACAAGGCACTGTCCGCCAGGTGGTGCTGCAAGCGCTGCTGCACTCTTAGCCCTATCGGGTCTGGGCATGTCGGCTAACATTGCACTTATGACGGTCATACTCAGCAAAAAACAACTCAGGAGGTGAGTGGTAAATGTAAACGCCATAAAAACTTCGTATTCCACTAGCAACACAGCTATGTCCAAATATTTGTTAGAATATAATAATGCATCCTGGTTCTTGTAAGAGGTGATTATGATTGCGGTATTATCGACTCGCTCACGTCAGACGTGAAATAATCAAACTGGCGACGGATAGCAGCGTCAAAAATGCGAAGCGTCTAGCTTATCGATCGTAAATCCGCCCGCCAAACGTGTCAATTAAGAAAAATCCTACACTAGGAGAGGCTCAGATTCAGCCGTGGACTTTAAGAGTGAAAAGGAGGATATTTCAATAGATACGCTATTAAAATAATGTATTGTTTTGTAAATCTCTACTCGTACAAATATATAACATATGAGTAGCTCACTGTAAATTTCACAGTACACGTGCAACCCGGGTTCAAACCCCGCCGGCACCAATAAAATCGTTAATTGAAATGTTAAGTGCTGTTTTATCACGTGCTTGGCGGTTAAGGAAAACATTGGGACGTATATAGGCTGTAACTTTACTTTTTTACAATTATTATTCATTACAATAGGTTGTCGTCCACGCTGATAATAGTCCTCCTCCATATATAACATGTAACAAAAACCCTGTGGTTCCCGTTAAGTACGTTATCAGGATCAGTATTCAAACCTAGAGAAATAGCTTTTTTTTTAAAACTCGACCATATATTTTTTATAATTTTATTAAAAATTTTTTTTTCATTTTATGTGGTTTTATTACTTCTTACTGACACTAGCCGATGCTAAAGCTAAGTAAAGCGGGGTATTTGATAATCCTCTTACTCCCCAGATAGTGCAAAGGTAATAAAACCACATACAATTTGCATACAATCATTTTTTTAAATAAAAGTTAAAAAAAAACATTGTTCAAGTTTAAAAAAAAAAGTTATTTCTATACGTTTGAATAATGATCCTGATAACGTACTTAACGGGAACCACAAAGTTTATGTTACATATTGCATATATATATACAGGTTGGTCCAAACAGTGAGGTTATAATTTTTTTTTTGATTCCTCACACCTAGGGGTATCCGAATATGTATGTTCCGCGATTTTTTGTAGTTTTCGAGTTATGATTTTTTTATTCTTTTTTTGAAAATGTTCACCCTAAACAAATTTTATAACTTCACTGTTTGGACCAACCTGTATATATATATATACATAGATGTATGCGTCAAAAATGCGAAGCATCCGGCTAATCTACCGTCAATCCAACACCAAGTGTGTTTGAGAATTAAGGGAAATCTTACACCAAGTGTGGCCCAGATTCAGCCGTGGACTTTTAAGGGCCGATAAAGAAGAGGATATTATAATAAATACGCTATAAAAATATTGTATAAGTCTCTACTCATACAATTATCTGAAGGCTGTATATATAGCCTATAAAAAGTCCACGCTGATAATAGGCCTCCCCCATAGATTACATAACATAATTTCCCCCATATTTGTTATAGTTGCCACTCTTGGCGAGCTAGTTGGTAACCGCAGATTTTTCTATTATTTTGAGTTATCAGGATGCTGCTGCCCATCTCCTGTGTACACCCACGGGATGATACAGGGTTAGTGAATTCTCTTACGCCGCTTCTACGTGGAGTACGCTCAGGGGTAAATTACTATCATTGTATATGAACAAATCACATACCTAAAGTGCACATTGAAACTGACTGTGGTTTTTGTTACGCTTCACGCTTTTTGTGTAATCTTTTTGGTTGAATGCGTCGGGAATCGCGATGCTTGGTTCATATAGGTAGATAGCATAAACAACAAATAAACCCGAAATACGATTCCTAACAGAAATATGATTGTAATCTACTTAGTTGAAAATCTTGTAAACAAAGTTTTGATTTCAATATTTTGTGCTATTATAACTTAAAATATTTTAATTACAAAGACGAGTATAGGTATGTAAGTAGGTACTTGAGTAGTGAAGTAAATTTCAACTAAGTTTTGTATTAAAGTAGTTAGGTATTACTTCTGTAGTAAATTATTACTTAATTATTTTTTGGCTATAAGTGCCTATCTAACAAAAAAATGAAATAAATTTACCTTTCATTATCCTTCGGTAACTCAAAACATGATATATCTGAATCCTTTTAATTGCTCATTAAGCATCCATCCCCGCAACAATAATAGAAGGAACAACGTTTTGCCATTATAATTTATCAAATAGATAGGTAATATACATATATACTATTCTTAAATTACGTTAAAACATTTTAAACTATTTTATCCTACAATTAAATATACTAAACACTAAACAAAAACTATTTCGACGAGTATTTCAACAATTATTTACAAAAAATTATTTACGTAAACAGCGTTAAAGAAACTAACATTCAATCGCCTAGAGCGCGCTATCTCCCCCTGGGGCAGCTTGCGATTGTAGGTAATTATTTCACGCAGGTAGCAACAGTGACAGAGGCCTGTCAAAAGCTTAAATATTTAATTCAGACCAATGACATTCAAATATGTATGGGTTTAAATCACTTTGGATCAGATTATTTTAGGAAGTCGTAAAGCTAACTATATTAACTGAAACTCTCTTTCAAACATTATAAATATGGAAGAAATTCTTAGATGTGCTATTTTCACCATCGTAACTTTATACATCGTCTGCGATCCACTTAAAGTAGAGCATCTGAACACGGGATTTATTGACTGTAAGTTGAAAATACCACACTGAAACTAGAATAAGTTTTACCTGTGACCTAAATATAACAACTTTTGACTTAAAATAAAACTTACCACCGACGTTTGATTTAAGGCTGGCAAATTATTTTAAAATTTAAGACTGCACACATTTCTGTTTGGATTTGTTTTTATTTATTATCTAAGAGACTTATAACATAGCTTTTGATTGAAGAGGGATTATACCTTACCGAAGTTTCGAATGCTGACTCTTTTGACTCTCCCTTGCATTTATGATAAACCCAATTCATATCAGCAATTTCGATTTTTTACCGAACCAATTCTAATAATTCGCGTCAACATTTAAATAGATTCACTCGTAGTTAAACATAATTTTAAAGTACTGCAACGTCGCCTTAAAGCGATTTCTTCCCTACCACCTTTGTATAGACAAGATTGCAACGGAACAAAAACAAGTGTGGTTTTGACAATACTAAAACCGTGAATATTGTAATATAAATTAATACGTGGAGTTTATAAATACTATGTAGTGGAGGCTTAAGTATATTCACTACTACATATCGTCCCGTAGGTGTCGTAAGGAGCGACAGAGGGGAACAGAAGCAAAATATGGTCGGTAGCATTTTCCTGGTAACAACTGGAAATAATAAAAAACTGCGGTTGGCAATCCGCTTGCCAAGCTTGACGATAGACCGTAATGGATGGATGAATGGATTTACAACATGACTTAAATAATATTAATTTACAGGTGGTCGCACGGACTCCTTTTCCACCAGGCAGTTGTGGACTGCGCTCGTGCCGCTATACTTCTACCTCTTGGCATTGCTGTGTTTCGTTGTCAACCCGTTTATAAATGTTCACTAGTAGAGACTGCCTTTTTATTACTTGTAAGATACTATTATTAATTTTTCGTAAAGCAAGTTTTTTTTAATTCTTTTCCTTACGTTATAATTGTGATTGATAATTAGCGGCCTTACTCATAAAAATCGACTACAATTTATGAAAAATCACGAAAATAATCAAAATTTGTTCAAAACATAAAAATGAAATACATTATGAATCCTGTCCTCGAAGAGTTAAATTTGGTGTTCCACAAGGAAGTGTTCAGAGAGCACTTCTTTTTATTATTTATATAGATGACCTACCTAAATCTACTAAAAATCGGTTAATATTGTTCGCAGATAACTGTGCAGTTTTTTATAATAATTAAAACATCATAAATATTAGCATAAAGTCAATAATGGAGTGGTTACAAAACAAGAATTACATAATAAATATAGATAAAACTAATCATAATTTTAATAAACAAATTCAGCACAATGACAAAGAAGTCCAAATAACAACAACAATAAAGTTTCGTGGCGTTCACATTGATGAAATCTGAAATGGCAAACCCAAATAGAATTTGCATGCAAAAAAGTGTCACAGTTGTCTAGTAATATATATACAACGTGGCCGCTACAATGGTGACTATAATTTAACACGCGGTTAGGGCTAGTGCTCATTAATCATATTCATTTTGATAGGTTAAAATAACTCGTAAATTGAAAAAAAAATTTCAAACTTCATAATAAAAAAGTAGCTAAAATTGGGATCACCCTTGCAAAATTTCATTCATGAAATTACTTACCTAGCTGGCTTACGTTAACTCGGAGCGGTAAGGCATCGCTTCTCTTGTACCTACTTGTGATCCGCCCGATTCTTTGACGGCTTATTATCAAAGAAACCGAGCGGAACCGGAGCTTACATACAGCGAAGGTTCTTAGTCAAACACTTATCATATCACCCTGTCTTGTTACTTTTAGTTATAACTGTCATCACTAATAACTGCTTTATTTGTCTTTATTTTAAATTTTCTTATTTTCAATGAGACCACCATATTGTCGGATACAAAGACCTAAAGAGCGTTTCATGTTTTCCCGCACATTTCAAAATAAATTGTCACTTATAGCCATTTCCCTTAATTTCTAAAACGCATTTATTATTCGATGGCATAATCGTTCCACCGAATCCACGTTCTCCGTGTACACGTCGCCTTTGATGCACCTCCAGAAAAAAATCGAGTAGCGTGAGGCCTGGCGGTCTTGCTGGCCACCTACGAGAACCAAATCTACCAATCCATTGTGCACCAAACGTGTCATTTAGCTATTGCCTGGCTGTTGTTACAGAGTGTTGGTGGCGCGCCATATCGATGGACGTTTAAGTTGTTTGTGTATTCTGACACCGTATCATTTAGAAGATTAACAAACCTTTCTCCGTTCAAAGCCCCATCAATGAATATGGGTCCGATGATGTTGTCACCCTGAATAGCTGCCGAAACATTTACCAAATATCTGTACTGATGAGCTGACTTCCGCCAAACACGCGGGTTTTGGTTTTTGGGTGGCCAAAGGTGCATATTTTGCTGGTTCCACATTCCATTTCTGGTGAACGTGCTTTCGTCAGTCCAACAAATTTGGGAAAGAAAGTCACTGTCCTCTTCAATTTTACTCAGTAACCACTGATAATAATTCACTCTTATTAATTTATCACGTGATAGCAGAGTATGTACTTTTCTAAACTTGAATGGGTGCCTCTTTTTGCGCTTTAATGTCCTATGGACGGTTCTGTGATGGACTTGAAAATGCCTAGCGTTCTGGCGTGGGCTAGATTTGGATTGTTCTTTGAAATATTGTATCAGATCAGAGCGTTGAGACCTGGGATCCACACATCCACGTTTATTAGTTTTTGGTTAGATCTACGCAGAATGAGTTTACAGTATCTTGAAGTCTTGCAGTGGTATGCTTGGGTTTGGATTTAATTTTGTTAATTAAGGGATCCCAAGCAGATGGCTGCACCCATCCATCTTCTCTATTGAAATTAGGATGTTTTTTTTTTAATTTCAATAGCCTCGCATATCATCCTTGGTAGGAATCGGTGTTATTTTGCGAGGATTTGTTGTCTATCAAATCTGATGTAATGGCGGGGACGATCTTGAACTTGTTCACAGACTGCAGACTTCTCAGAGCGTCGGTGCCTCACGTCAGCTATTGATCAAACCAAAAATTAATATTCAAAAACTGAAGGTAGCCGGGCTAACTGTGACATCGGGACGTCAAACATCTCAGTCCCCCCCGTGACCATGGGTTGCTGTAAAACACCCGAAACGCCGGGAATCAAAATATTTAATTAAACGCGATAAAATCCGTAAAAATAGTTTTGTTCAACGTTATAATATCTTTAGGTTATTGGAACCAGTTTTTTTATCAGTTTTAGGCGGTACGGATTTAGCGGATGGGGTCTAAGCGACAATAAGTGTAAGATTTTTCCATTACCACCCCTTCTGACGTATTGTAGAGGGTTGGACGGCTATAAGGACGCCAGATTGAATAATATCCATCTCCCTCGCACTTCTTCTTATCTTGCCATGAAAGAAATATTATTTTATTTGACGCTTCATTTTAATAGATGAATAATATAGTACGTTTTCAATAATAATATACTACGAAAGGACTTCGTTCCAACCGAGTGTTCCACGATACTCACTCATGTTTTTTTTTTATAATATACAGATTATACAAATCTTAACCGAAGTTTTTATTTAATGTAATTCAATATATATTTTTCCTGAAATCGGAAAAATAATAATACAAATAATTTTTTCATGCATTCATTTACATATGAATTAAACTTGCATAAAAATTAACACAAAATGACATAAAATATTAATTTCAGGTAACCGTATCAACAGTAAATATGTTAACGACAGTCCTAAATGATAGTCCTATATTCCCTGAGAATGAAGAGGAACAAGCTGATCTGGCGGCTCCGTTACTAATGGATAGCCCTCAAGTAAGAACCAATAGGCATTTAATACTATTCTGCATAATCATTATTAATCTATAGTATTGAGCTGCTACTATGTTCTTCTTCTAAGTTAAGGGATCTTAAGTAATCACCACCATTATTATTAACAAACGGAATACTATGCGTGTACCTAAAGTTATCCTTCTCGTCATGGGTCTGTAAATAAACTAACAATATATTTTTATATATTTATTAAGCTCTAAAAGGTTTAAAAATGTTGACCTTATCCTTAGAGTCTCTGCTTCTATAACTGTACCGTTCGGGGTTAAATCCTTGTGGAATATTTAGAATCGATAACACGGGACCCTAACTTTGCCGGTTTGACTTTGTCTTCGGTGACTGCTCATATCTGGAGTATTTCGTTCAGGGTCAAGGTGGCGTCTAGTTAGGTATTAAATATTTTTTTAGGTCCAACTTGTGTAAGTTGAATTTACCGGCTTCCTAAAGACAAAGTAGGTTGATAGATTTTACGCAGCCACTATAATTTAGAACTTCTCTTGTTTCTTTCAAAAATTGCACGCCGAGTTAATAAAATAAATGTGTCAGTACAAGCATTTAACAAGTTTTATTTTGTTTCAGTGTGTCCTATTTGGAACATTCATGATATGGTTTGCATCAATTACTATAAACCTTGGGCCAACATTTTTATCCGGAGCCTTAGCAGCAAGCGCTGGTTCTTACAGTTCTTACGGTCCTTCACCTTCATGTCCATTGGTACGTGGACCTTTTAGACATTACGTACTCAACGCGCTTTGGATTGGGGTCAATGCTGTATGTGTTGGACTTACGTTATTCCACTTGAAAAAACTTCACCGCGATCTGACTAAGGTTTGTAACTTTTGGAATATACATATATTTAAAGTGAAAATAGCATGGAGAAGTTTGTCAGGATTCACATAAATGGCGCTTTGTTGAATTTTCTGTTGTATTGGTTGATGTTCACGCTAAACGCTACCACTTCTCCATGATCATTTGACTGTCAAGTTACGGTATAATCACTTCACGAACTACATTGCTTTTTCCAAAAAAAAACCATATACTTAGTAACTGTAATGAGCGTTACCAACATGTAGTAGTTCTATTTAAGTGCACACAAGTTCCAGACAGGAAACCGAAATCAACATGATTGCGGTAAAGTTTGTATAGTTCTAATAACGTTTAATATTAAAAAAGTTGTCTGCAACTATAACATTAAAACTCGAGTTGGCACTATGCCGATTCCACTATGTGTTCAATAAGCAAATAAGATTTAAATTTTCGGCTGTCGATTCGATGCAATTGGGTTTTGTGGTACTGACATGCTTGGTGCATAAGAAAATTAGACTGTCAACGGCAAACATCCGCCAGGCGCAGGAACGTGACGTTTGAAGTTTCGATAATTTAAATCTTATGGCATGCAGGCTAACGTAGAAGCAGTTCGAGTAGCTGGTCTAGTGACCACGCTTGTCAGCATGGCTGGTGACAACAGACGCATGGATTCACTACCAAACAGCGTTGGACCTAGGGTAAGTATCGTGCATGCGTGAAATGAAACAAATTTGTTTTCACTGTTGTCTTTTTATCACCGTAGAATAGTCAGTGAGTACATTGCTGTTTACCCTACTTACCCTCTATATTTACCAGGCCTTTGTAATATAATAGAATTTTATTGAAGAACTTATTTTAATTGATCCTTCATTTATTTTATTTTGTTTTTTTAAAAGAGGTCAGTGAATACCTGTGGGCCAAACGCGTAAATAAAGATATTGTATAACAAATTAATTCCAACAGCTCAAAATTTGTAAAATGTTGTTCTACAGGTTTACGTTGGTCTTTTCTACAATTTATAAAATATATTAACTTTCCAATTAATTCGTATTACCGAAATGTAGGAAATCTAACAAAGGCTTATAACTTCTTAGCATACATGTCATTATTTACGATTTGAATGTAATATTTTTAAAACAATTTTAGACAGTCGATGGTACAATGAATGATGGTCAGTGTGGACCTACTGGAAGTGCAAATTTACCTTTTGGTGGTGGACGAAGACTGCGGGGATATCTTGCACGTGTAGAAAGAGAAGGTGTACGACGAGTTCGCATGTTCCTTGTGATCACCGCCGCCTATGTTCTCTTCTGGGGTCCGCTGTTTATTATAACTCTTCTGCATCATCCGGCCCTCACCTCGCATGTTTCATACGAGGTATGTTCTAATATTTATTAACTTTTTACATGTAATATTTAAAATAATAAATTATTATTATCCATGCCTGGTAAACGTTACTCCGTTCTTATCGATAGGTAGCGCGATGAGTTTCATTCCAGTTGAACTTACTCCCGACATTTAATAGTTTAAACTTATAATTTATTAATCACTCGACCACAGCGCCACCTATATGGTCCATATTTTATGATTTTCATCTTTTGCACTAAAACAACATTTATTGTGAATAAGAACAGTTTTGTCAATAAATATTTAATTTATTTATAACATAACTATAGCGCTATTTATACTATCCTAACATGTGATATGAACCTTGGTTAAACAATCAAGGTATAAACTATGTCGACAATACTAATACATTGTGTGAATATGACCTCAATAGGTCAAATCGTTCATAATTTACACGATCACTAACAGACGTACCAAAGATAGTAAATATATAAATATAAAGATATTCCTACAACTTACTGTCTTTAGCTCTCTAAAATACAACCGCTTAATTATTTTTTTCTTAGATGTATTTTCAAATAACGCTGCACATCTCATACGTCCACGCAGCGGTAAATCCCCTATTATTCATGGTTTTACACCGAGCGCTTCGCCGAGCAACTTTACAATTGTGCTGCGGATGTTGCGTTCATTGGAGCCAGTTCGTGCTCGCTCTTACTGCTGCAGGTAAGTATTTTTTTTGTTACACTTTCTTGTAACATTTCACCGCCGGGTCTGTATGAGTATATTAAAATAAAAGAAGAATGATACGTCCATTGGTCCTAGTGTAGCTATCAATGGAGAGGACTATACCTAACACAGAATCAATCAATTTATTCATAATTTTCTTAAGACTTTAATTTCAATAATTTTTTATATAATAATCTTTGTTACTACATTTCCTTATACATCAGTTTACAATATATCTATTTAGATATATACTACACAAAAAGTTTTAATCTTAAAACATGAAAAATAGCATCCATGGCCGATCTAGGCTAAAACCTGTATTTCAGCATATGGCGCCACTCCCCACCCATAATAAATATAAATTAGTCGTATTATTTACTTGAATTATCAAAATATTACAAACTTTTTTCTTTACATTACTTATCAGTTAAAAAATGTAAAATATACATATTTTGTAAATGGTGCAAGTGTACATGTTTGTGTAAAAGAAATATATGTGGTATTACAGTTTAAGCCTCTAAACGTCCCACTGCTGGGCATCGACTGAAGGCCTCTTTGTAACTCTCATCATGAGATATTGCCATAGTTGCCACGCTTGGCGAGCGAGTTGGCAAATGCAGTTTTTTAATTGTTATTTTGTTGTTATCAGAAAGATGCTGCTGCCCATCTTTTGCCTCGGTTTCCCCTCTTACGACTCCCACGAGAAGATATGGGGTAGTGGGTATACTTGCCCGCCACTTGTCATTTTAATAGATGGCGGTGTTTTAAAAAAATATACAATATTGATTTTATCATCATTGTATATTTTTTATAACATCGTCATAGTATATCTAATGAAGTCAATCCGGTTAGGATGTTTAAATTGTATTTTATATAATATTTAAAAGTAAGCCATACACCAAGTATTGCCTAGAATGGTTAAATTCATTTTTACCAAATTTCATGGAAAGAGCAATGGCAGAAAAATAGTTGACAAAATTATTGCGTCTAGAAATAAGTTACAATATATAAAACGAGTTTTATTATTTTTCTATGATTTTTCAAATGAAAATATATTTTAATTAAAGCCACAGAATAAAACAAACATTTTTGGGAATATCAAATGACTTAAATCATTTTACTCTATTCAAGTGTTGTCATTATAGTAATATTCATACTATTTTCGTATACACTTTGTAAGACTACCAACACAGCACACAAACACAAAATATTTTTATATTAAGTTATTATTAGTAACAACTATACCATCAGTAATAATAATAAAAATAGTGATATGGTTGAAAAGAAGTCTCTTACAAAGAACTTCCTACAATAATACATTATCTCAATCATAGTAATGTGTAACAATTCCATTTAATGTTATGGCAACACTAGCTAAAACAAAATGTCAATATTTTTTGTTTCTGGCTTTACGGCTTTGGGTTCTAGCCCTTCTGAGAATGTCACTGTATGACACAAAGGCCCTGGAGCCATGCCAGAATTATACATTTATAGTATGCAAATATAAAATAGAGCTACAATAATCTAAAAATTGTCAATTATGTAGGTAGGGCACGTTATGTTGAGAATGTATTAAGCTAACATCAAACAACCACAGGATGCATGACATTTTCCAAGTGACATAAGACATAACCTAAAAAGGTTCAAATCTAAATATCTTTTTTTGACGCCTTCTCAGGACAAAATTCTTTGACAGAGTTATTGAGGAAGTGACCCTTAAAATTTTAAGATATTTTTGATGTATAGACACTACCATTCATTCTCAACTAATTTTATGTATGAAATTCTGCCATTGTTCTTTGTCAAGTAATTTTTGCGTAAATCGTGAATTTACAGACAGATACTCGTAGAAAGACAAACAAATATTCCAAAAATTGCTATTCGGGCTTGCGCATCTTTTATTTAGTTTTCTAAATTTGTTATTTACTTATAAGAAATGTAGACACAACCTTTCTACGGATATATTATATGTATAGATTAATTACGATTTACCCTGGTAAGGCCCGCATGAAACTTTCTTCTCCATCAGTTCTCGTTTTCACTAGATTTATACCCCGCAATTAATTACCGCAGCTAAATTTCCTTTTGGGCTGCGTCAAATTTTCTGATTCTAATTTAGATATTCTGGTTATGGAAATTGCGAATAGCTCTCCCTAGATAATTTAGGAGTTTTCAGTTTTGTTACTATTACCGGCTGTAATTTAAAGAATAACTCTACAAAACACCATGCATTCTTTACGAAAATAATTGTAATGCTTCCTTCATCTAAGTACGCACTTTCTTCCAACCACTGTCTCATATGTTGTGTAGGTCGTTAGATAATAGGGCTTTACCTATGAAATTGCCGTTCTACAGTACTGGCCATTTATACTGGCATTTAATATCAAAATAATATTTGTTTGGCCTTAGCCAAAAAAAAATAATTTGAAATTAGAATTCTTTAATTTTAATTTCAAATTAATTTTATTTTAAAACATGGAACTCTGTTTGCAAAATTAGACATTTGCTTATTTAGCGTAAAGCGTCTCCCACACTTAACTTATTTAATGAAAAAAGGCAATTTCATAGATAAAGACCCAACATTTTGAATTATTAGATAAATTTATTTTTTAAAGTTTTTATGAAATAACAATCAAGTGACAAACGATCTTGCAGTCCTCCTGGTGGTAAGTGGCTACCGCAGTTCTTGAAAAATGGAAGCTTACTTTATACAAAAAAGGGCTGCAGATGCGTTGTCACGCCTGTTGCCTTTTTTGATGATGACGATAGAATGTAGCCTGTAATTATACTGGCTTCCTACACCCTACAGAGCGAAAAACAGCAATGCACGTACTGCTATTTGGCGGCAGAAATAAATAGAAGGGTGATACCTACCCAGACAGACTCCTAAGCAGAAATGAGCCCTATCACCTGGTTATAAGTAATAACTAGGTTATTCTGGGTGTACCTAAATAACTGGGTGAACTTTTTTTTAAAAAAAAACGTTACCCCCACACTAGGATTTTCTTCTGTATCGTGGGGGCAGTTTACAAACAAAATTGCACAAGGACAAACATCCAGACCCGGAACAATTATTTGTAGGCCATACAAATACTTGTTCCGTGCGGGATTCGAACCCGCGCCCCCCAGCGCAGCAACTCATTGCTAAGCCACTACGCCACGGAGCCGTCAAACGAAAAACCAACCTTCTTTTGTTATTGAATCAGCTTTTATTTCCTTCTTCTTTGCAGCTCAGTCACCTCTTGCTCCATCATCGTTTTCGCCGGCAGCAGCGTCTCCCGAACCACCGCCAGCTCCTCCACCACCTCTAGTACCACCTGCTCCACCATCGTCACATCCTGCGCCGACAGCGCCACACACGATGATGGTAATTACCTCTTATATGTAAGTGTTAACACCGTAATACGTGATTTAAATTTCTGGCCCCAAACCCGCACGCGTATGACTAGATTAGTATAGCGTGTTCCAATTTTCTTCTATCTATTATAAGTATATATATCAATTATATTTTAAGCTATTATTATGCCGTGTAAATAACCATGGTTTTATCATCAATTTCATCTATACGTAGATATGCATGAGTTCTTACAATTAAACTTGGATGTTATGTACACCTTAACCCTTTATTTTTTATTGTTTAATACAAATGCTTCTTTATCAAATCCTTATAAAAAGTATTTTACGTGGAAAAAAAAAGTTAATCGAGAAAATAGTTAAAGTATTCGAATTAATGCTGTACTTCAAAAGTCAATACACTCTGTTGCCGCGGTATAAAATAAAAGTACACACAGCATCATCATGTTGTCCTCCTCTAAACAATCTCAAAATCTCGATCTCAGAGTTGGGAAGTTGAGGAGTATGATGCTGAGAGTATGTCGAGTGCGCGTGTGCAGGGAGACGAGGATATGATGGAGTGGAGTGGCAGCGTACGGCGCCAGCCGCGATCGCCGCGATCCCTGCGCTCTTCGCGCTCGCCTAGCCCGTTGCTGCCCTCGGTTTGAGTGCAACGCCCCCGTACCCTACGCATCTTCACGTACCACCAACAAGTTGCAAATCATATCCGTGCCGTACCTATTACTTGTCGCAGTGACAAGAATTCTTTCCACCATTAATCTAATTATAGAAAATCTAGCTGTACTGTGCCAAAGTGTAATAGATTGAAAGTTACTGAAGATATGTAAATTATATCCAAAATAACTATAGTAAATATATAGTATTAAATTAACAATATATAAAAAAATATTAATGTTATAAATCTATGCCATCGAAGAAATTAAACAGGGTGGCACATTGAGGGGCTAAAAATGTGTACTAGTAACTGCAGCACGAATGAGTTTGCCCGATCGGGAGAGGACCACTTTCGCATGGTAGAAAAAAAACAGCATAATATAACGGAGTTTCTTAATGCAGATTGAAGAAAACCAAAGGCCTGATGTACTGCAAGCGAGACAGATAGAGTCTTAGCCTCAGGGGTGACAATTTGCATTATAATTATAAATCGAAGACAGATGTAACCTATGAGCTAGAGCATACACTTACCATCCAGGTGAACTCTGTACTTGTTTGTCACCCCTACTTCATTATAAAAGAAAGATGTATTATTACATTAGTTGTTAACAATATTTTCGTTTTATACATTTTACTCACACTTTCCCATCTCAAAGCGCCATCCTGAGCAAGTTAAAAACAAATGTAAAAATTGTAATCTCAATTTTAACTTACAATTAAAAGTTGCGAAACAAATGTGACTTTAAAATTGCACTTATTTCATAAAATATTTTAAAAGATATAGATATAATACAGAATTTTTTAAATATATTTTGTGAATTACATTAAACGAAATCAATTGAAACACCAAGTAGTTGATATAAACTCTGAAGTATAAAATATTTATGAAATAATTAATAACTATACATAGAATATAAAATACGTACATTACAAATTTTGTACTCGTTCTTTGATATCGATAACTCATAGGTCAGTAATTTTTTTTAATTATCTTTTTAATTTTTGTATTTTTTATAACAGTTACATTTGAGACAGTCTTAGTTATCAATTATACTAAATTTTCTGTATATAATACGTTATTGCCGGTACATTATAGGCTAGGAATCCAAATTTACTGTTTTTTTTTTATATTATCCAATTGTCTACATCTATTCATTTATTTGGATGCTTTTGTTTTGTTATATCTCTATAATTATAACTAGGCACACGTTGTATTGGCAATTTTCTTTAATTTCAGTTATAAGTTTTGTCAACTTCCACAATATCTTTTTTAAATTTGCTGCTGAAATTTTGCCTTATAAAGATAAAGTTGATATATTCTTGGAAAGACCAATATCTTGTTCTCGATAACTTTTAATTGAGCTAATTTTAATAATGCATTTTGAGATTTTGAGTTTATTAATTTTACAATCTTGAACTTGAAAATTGTTTTAAATACATTTTCATTATTATGATAATAAATTAGTAATTAAATAGAAATTCATAAAATTTTCTTTTATCTGTCAGCCAAAAGTCCCATATCCTAAACGGGGAGAAATCGCACATGCACATTATGCAAATATCTTGAAACTTGAAAGGGACACCACAATACACTTAACCGTGGTAGATAGTAATTGTATACAGATTATATAGACAGTGATTTTAATTCGGATACTGTGTTAAAATTAGCATACTGAATTGTGTATCAGATACGTTAAAATAAATATGTACATACATAAATCTTGTATAAAATTATTTTTACCGACTTCTACTCAATGTCGTCTTAATTGATTGCATTAAATATATTTGAAAAAGTTTCGTTAAAAATTTATTCAAATAAAATTGCATTTAAAATTAATTACTGTTCTATTATCAAATTAAAAAAAAAACTATGATAATTTTTAAAGTTTCTATTCTTTTATTACTCTTATTTGTATTAGTGTAATCTAATTAACGAATCGCTAGGTGGGATCATATATACACATTATAATCTTTACGCATGATTTTAAATCATTTGATATTCTAAAAATTAAAAAAAAAACTCATCATACTCACATAATTACGTCCCACTGCTGAGCAAAAGCTGCCTTTGTTAAATAATGTTGTTTTGGCTCAGTCATATCCAGTTTTAGTGGCGACGTTAGACGCACTTCGTAGGTAGGTAATTGTATCATAGACCCACCTAGCAGCCGATTTTGGGCTTAAGAGGTACGAACGACCACTCCGTCAAGAAATTTCCCAAATCTTTACGTCTGGCAAAATAAGTAATTTTAAATTAACTAACGAGCATGTACGCGTAGGTATATGGACATGACAGGCGAGAATTAAATGGAAGTCAATAGTCTCTGCCTACCGCTCTAAGTAACAGGCGCGAGTGTTTATGTATAAACTTCCTAAATATAATTATCATATTACATAAATAAATCAATTTCGTTAAACTAAAATACACAGGGATTTACTGTCTAAAGTAGCAGTGATAATGAAACATTATTAAAACATTCTTAATTTTTCGACCGACTTTATAAAAAGGAGGAGGTTCTCAATTCGACTGTATATATTTATGTGTGTTACCTCAGAACTATTTGCTAAAAGAACTGATTTAGATGATTCTTTTTCTATTTGAAATCTGGTGCTTCTCGTGCCATCAAGATCTGACCAGTAGTTTCTGAGTTATCCTTAATAATGCGTATTTAATTGACTTCGACTACATTGACGATGTTCTCATTTTATTTATATTGAAGTCGGTTGTACAATTTTTTTTAATTTTACCTCTTGTTAATAAAGGATAATTTTCTTTAGCATCAAGAATAAGGAATATATTAATAATTATTTTAAAAAAAGTGACGTCCCTTAATTGGTGTTATTGAAATAGGTGTTAGAAAAAAAATTTTGAATTGAATTGAAGCACTCACGTGAAATGCATTCAATATAAATGTATTTTACTATTATAATGTACGTAATAGGATTTATTACTAATTTAAGTGACTACACATTCTTGTAAATGCCGTGCTAATGTCTGTTAATAAATAATAATCACTTGCCACTGTATAGTAAAATAATAAATAAACGTAAATAGAAGAGGATAGTAATAATATTGGTTGTTTAAACCGTCTTTGTATACAAAGGTTGTACATATTATAAATGATTGTATAGTACAATCAGCAAACTAAAAAACTGTGTTCTTAAAAAATACCATAAATGAAGATTTTAAAATAAAAGCTAAAACGTAGACACAGTGTTTCTCTTGCCAACATTTTTTCTGTCTCCCTCCTAACTTTATTAGGCTTTAGAATTCACCGATGGATGATGATGATATCCGGAGCTATATAACATTTTTTTTATAAAAACTGAAATGGCAGACAAAATTACAGTCCACCTTTTTTTTATAGAAGAGGAGGCAAACGAGCATGCGGCTCACCTGAGGGTAAGTGACTACCGCCGCCCATGAACAACCGCAACACCAGGGGAATTGCAGATGCGTTGCCGGCCTTTTAGAAAGTTGTAAGCTCTTTTCTTCTCCACCTTATAATATGTGGCTACTGGGGTTCATAGACACATGCACTGCTATTTGGATTCTTTTTTAACCATGATGAAACTTTAGAATATTGTGTGAAGCTATCAATTACGCAGGAGATATTATTGTACCATAACACGCTAACCTTCATGAGCTGTGGCAAATTCCTTCTTATAATAATAGCAATTTACAATTTTATTGGCGCCAGTGGAGATCAAACCCGGGTGACTCGAGGGAAATTTTTCAGGCTTAAGCGCCTGTTTTCTAAGGTACAACAGCACAGGTAAAGTCATTTTATTTTATTTTTATTTGTTGTTCTCTTTCTTATTAGTTTTGTGCGTTTTTTTTTTTAGAATATAAGTAAATCTCTTTGTATTGTTTTTAATTACGAATGAAAAGATTTATTGTAGCAACATCTATTTATTTTGTCCGCGGATACCTACAGGTGGGGACCTGGTGACCTAAGATACAGGTTTTGCCTAGTTTAGGCACCAGTTTTTCACCTAACAATAGTATTGTATCAGATGTAAGCACATATTTTTTGTTGTCTTCTGAATGTATATTGTTGGTGAAAATAAATAAATAAAAATAAATAAATATTTCATTAATTGAACAAGGTCATACAGCAACAGCAAGGCACTTGCAGTAAAGTTTCTGTCAGAACCTAATCCTCCGTGAAGAGGCGTCATAAGCACGTGGGCATCCTAAGAGGTGGCAGAGAGAAACGAAACAGGAGATGGGCAGCCGCGTATTTTTTTTATATCATAAGGGTGACAAACGAGCACACAGTCCACCTGATAGTAAGTGGTTGCTGAGGCCCATAGACATCTACATTTATCCTCGATTACGAAACAAAATGCAGATGCATTGTCACCCGTGAGGACTAAGATGGAATGCCTCGTTTTTAGTTGAAGGAGTCACCGGTTCTCTACACTTACACATACGAAAACAGCAGCATTAAACTGCTATTTTACGCTGGTATTCTGTGAGAGCGTGGTCCTTCCCCGGTCGAGCCGACCCATTCGTGTTATAACTATACCAGAAATATAGCTGCAGCATGGCTCTACCACGTGAAAAATATATCCAATAACAACTAAAAATATAAAAGCGGTTTTTAACCCTTCTGCGAAGCGTGGCAACTATGGTTAATATTCCCATATGAAGCAATGTATGGGGGAAGCCTATGATCAGCACTGGGCTTTGGTAGGCCGTGTGATAGATATGCCAGTGTGGCCGCAATCGTGTGTATGATATGTTTTTTTTTTTATTAGATTAAAACACTAAGCTCTATTATACAAATACGTTAGACTATTAATACGCTAGGCTATACACCGTGACATAATGAGGCGATTTGATTTTCACTATTTTGGCGGAAGTGAGCGTCCACGGAACTAATAATAGAGGTAAGACGACAGTGTGACAAAATATATTGATAAAAACTCTATATCTATATCTACCTTTCTATTTATGTATCATGTTAATATTGTGCCAAACAATAAA